CTTCTCCCTCTGCCTTTCTCTCTGTCTCTCATAACTAACTAAATAAATAAATAATCTTTACACACACACACACACACACACACACACACACATATCCAATTAAAAATTGTATTCAAATATATCATTTGGATAAAAATGCAAAGTCAATATAAAGAAGTCACTTTTATGTTTCAATACTGGTTTTTTCTCTGGAATTCTCTCTTTTTTAGGTACATACAACATTAGTGATACTGATTGTCCTTATTGAGCCATACAACATTAATGTGGCCTCAGATCACACAAATCTAAAATGAGAGTGAGGCAAAATGATCTTATGAAGTCCCTTTCAGTTAGAAATGTCAATGATCTCTTAATTCTGTGACCTAGGTTGACTGTCAGATGCTATTTTGCTGTCACAAGTAAAAAGCAGAAAACAGTAATGCTTCTAAACAAAAGATAGTACAGTTTAAAAAGAGAATGTCAAAGCCTGAAGCTTTACTTGAAATTAATTTAGAGAAAAACAAAAATTGATTAATATAGTATATAAATAATATTAGTGTATAAATTTATATGTATATAAACTATGTAAATCAAAAGTACCCTGGGAAAGGGGGAAATTCCCCCCCCAAAAAAGTTGTGAATGTTTACCCAAGTAGATTAATTTCATAAAGTGGCTGAGATACCAAATGGGGAAAGACAAAAAGTATGAAAGAAAAGGTAAAAAAGAGAATAAAGCTAAGAAAAAAATCAATTCATCATTTTATATTTACCACTAGTTCTCTATTATTGAAAATTTGACTATGTCAAATGGGTATTGCAATTAAGTGGTCTGTTTTCACATCTATACTAAACTGTTTTGTCTCAAAACAATCCTGTTAAGGGGCACCTGGGTGGCTCAGTGGGTTAAGCCGCTGCCTTCGGCTCAGGTCATGATCCCAGGTCCTGGGTTCAGGCCCCACATCGGGCTTTCTGCTCAGCAGGGAGCCTGCTTCCTCCTCTCTCTCTGCCTGCCTCTCTGCCTACTTGTGATTTCTCTCTGTCAAATAAATAAATAAAATCTTTAAAAAAAAAAAAAAAAAAAACAATCCTGCTAAGATGTCACTGATTTTCTGCTGGGAACCATTAGCTGGCAGCTTCATTTAATCTATCCCAAATACCCAATTCCTCACTGGCAGCAGGAATTGTAAAAACACAACAGAGTTTAAGGGTTTTTAGCATCACTTTCCAAAAATTCCTTGAAACACTGTTCTACAAAAGACTGACTCCACAGATTTTAAGTGTATACCTGATCTTGACATTAAAAAAAGATCCACAATTCTAGTCACTTTAATATTCTTATTCTACTGTCATGGTATGCTGCTCTACAAGTCTTTCTGTAGGAAAAAAAAAAATACCAATTTAAATACTAAAATGTTCAATTATTAATGCCATTATTTAAAAATCAATAAATCGTATAAACTTTAACATGGAATTTAAGTCATCTTCTAAGTCACAGAATATTTCCACGTGTAAACAGTTAACAAAAAACCAGATTATCCAGAAGAGTAAGTAATGATATATATCAAAAGAGATTAAATATAAATTGATAAGGAATGCCTGAGAATAAGTCCTTAAGCTTTCTTATGTACATTGTTTTGGAATATGAGCACTTCTTAATTACAATTATAAGACATCTACTTTAAATAAAAAGAGACCCTTTATTTTTCATGAATCAATATATAAATGAATGACACGTGAAATTTATTCTCAAAGGATGAATGCAGCAAAATACCATAAATCTGAATGTTTATTTATTTGAGTAAAAAAAAGCAACTTTAGGTGAACATGTCTTAATTTCTTAATGCACTGAAATTATTTTGTTTGGTGGGTTTTTTTTAAGTGAGGAAAAAGCCCACTTTATTAACAAAGGGTAAAGGCACTATCTTGAAATGTCCTACACAGTTGCAAGAAAATGACTCACTGGTATAAAAAATTGTGTCTGTGGTCAACTTCTTATCAACAAACAGTTTCATATACTATGCCTTTTATCAAATAAACCACTTCACTCTTACAGAACCCATTTCAAGTCACCTTGAACAAGAAAGCTATTTATTTTACTATAACTCATCTAAAGTAATAAGTCAGCAAAAAAAATTTTTTATAAGATTTTATTTATTTGAGAGACAGAGAGAGTGAGCAGTGGGGGGGGGGCATCAGGAGGAATAGACTCCCCACTTGAGCAGGGGGTCTGATGTGGGGCTAAACCCCAGGACCCTGAGATCACGACCTGAGCCGAAAGCAGATGCTTAACTGAGCCACCAAGGTACCCCAGCAAAAATGTTTTTTAACTTTAATAATGATGTACCTTATAACCATTCAACACATGTAATTATTCAGTACAGCTCTTAATTACTTAGATTTGATTCAATACAATAAACATTTTGAAAAATATAAATGTCCTCTGGATGCTATAAAAAACAAATGCCCCTGTATTCTAATAGAATAATTTAATTATCAATGAACTTAAGAATCTTGTAAACCTACTGGCTAATTACTGTCTAAAAGAAGTTAGCATTAACCATATTGATCTAAAATTATTTAAGATTTATGGCAGGGGTTCTAGACTTTGTTATTTATTAGAATCACTTAGGAGAGTGTAGAACTATCAATGCCTGGGCTTCACGCCCAGATCCTACTTTAATTCGTTCGAGATGGGAACAAAGTATCAATATTTGTATAAAACAAACAAAACAAACACAGGTAAACTGAATTAAACATACAGCACAATTGAGAACTATCAACTTGGGATATACTTCAGTTGTAAGACAGAAAAAACTTGCTCACTGGCACCAAAAGTTTTAAGTCTACTAAAAACTTAAGGTGTAGGGGAAAAAAAGTGAAGAAAAGGAGAAAAAAACAATATTTTAAAACATAATGAAGGCCTAACAAACATTTTTTTTTTTTTCCTAACAAACATTTTTGCCTTTAAAAAATGTTAAAGTTGAAAGCCCTATCTTAGATTTGGTTGATAGATAGGCTTATGCTGCTTTATTTATAGATAACAGCTAAATAAAAGCAATACAAACACAATGGTAAGAATAAATGATAGAAATAATTATCATTCAAATTTAACACCATAGAAAGACAGTAAATTAATATAGTATCACGATCAGATGAGACAAAATTATAGTCAATAACATCTTCTAACCTCAATACTACACAGAATAGTGTTTCTTTAAACCACTTTCCAATACCTTCGATTCTTACGTGCCTCAAAAGAGAAGAATTCATTTAAGAAGATATAGTTACATGGCTCCAATCTGAGATTAGAAAGAACAAACAAGTGCAGAATATTTCCCTTATGAAAGCAGCATATACATCTGTATGATCAGCCACAATACTCTCTTTACAACAGGGCCCAAAGTTAACATCTCTGAGCAATGAGATAAAAAAGTTCTTAATTATAAGCATTTTAACATATTATCACAGAATTCAGTTTCTCTCTAATAACAGTTAAAAGTGTATGAAAATTACTAGCAACATAAGCCGGCATGAAGGGATGAATGAGGATCACCAGAACAAGTCAGAATATGTTTGTTACAAACTGGATGGTAAACTTACAAGAAAAACTAAAGATAAGTAGTCCAACCTTGAGAATAAAATTAAAAGAACCAATAATAAAAAATTACACAGGATGAGGGAACCAGTTAAACTTCCATGTAATTTCATTTTTCTTTAAATGAAATTTTAAGAAAATTATTTTTAAAATATTTTGAGAGGTACTCTTTAAGACATAAAGAACATTTTGATAAATAAGTACTTTCTGTTAAACATTAGAAAATTAAATATATTTTAATAATAAATTAAATATTATTATAATCTAAAATTCAGTGACATAAAACTAATACCCAAGTGCCAATACCCTGGTAAGGATTTCAAGATGTTAAAGGAAGCACATTTTGAATGCAGAATGGTTAGAGATGAAAGATGTAGAATTCTATGTAATTAAAAAAATGAGATTTTTTTTTTTTTTTTGCTTCGGGAGTAGAATTCAGTGATTCAGCAAAGAAATGAGATTTCTTATAAAATTATAGACCTATACTTTTATATTAAACAACTTAAGCATCTGTTACATGTCATAAAAATAAGCCTCCAAAAGCCTGTCACTAGAATGACTTCACAGATTTCCAGTTTGGTGTCTTATAAATATATTAATCTATACACACTATCTAGATTATTCTTGGTATATACTTTTTCACATTCATCCTTCCTGAGAAAAATGTGGTATGAAATTTTAAAAGATTACCCAGCATTGGAGGAAACACTCCCTCAAGAAATAACTGTTGAATTAGCTCCATTATTTAATGACGTAAGAACTCTGACAACTTTAAATTATAGCTCTCCAAACCTACCAAAGGTTAAACCCATAAGGAATGAGCTGGTGAGCAGAAGCTGAGATAACAGAAAAGCTCAATAAAGATAACTGGAGAGACAACTACTGTCCTTAGATCAGCGATTTTATGACTGCCAAAGTGTGCACATGCATTTAGATACATGTTTATATCACCCACACACACATACACAGTAAATATGCTTCATTGTTTTGTTTTGTTTTGTTTACTAATCCCAATCTAAAGACATGGCATAAATAGAAAGGAAAAACTAAATTGCCCAGACTAATTATGGACTAAGGATTTACTAAAGGATGGATGGATGAATCGATGGATGGATAGAGAGACAGATATAAAAATATATTGGGGGGAGGGGAGATGATACAGGTAAGAACTTTGACTCGAAACCAGTATCTGTGATTCACAATGCTAAGGTGATTCAAGGACATTGTAAGGGATCCATTTTAGGTAAATGTGAGCTTAACAAACAAAAAGCTGAATGAAATATAAAGTAATCATAACATATATTTTCAAAAGCATAAAAGATCTATATAACAGGGCAGGATATATTAGTTTTCTACTACGCAGTTTAAAATATCTTCCCTTAAAAAGGGATTTTTTGTGACTAAATTAGGGATTAGTACATCTTACCTTCCACAGAAGGTGCCTGATCCTGAGCTGAATACAGCATATCCTTGAAAGCCTATTAAAAGAAAAAAAAAAGTGCATGAAATAATGAGTAATCTTTAAACTAACAGCATTTGATGCTAAACAATTACTTCTTTTTCAATATCCAGACTACTAAATTGAGAATTTAGTAATATACTTCAATTAACTTTAGTAAGCTGAAACCCAAATACTATACTTTCATATCAAGCCAGTATTGTCCAATCTTTAAGAAAATGACTAATATGTACACTTTAAAAATTAAAGGGCATTGGGAACAGAATGAAAAATCTCCTGAGAGATCATAAACTCTCTTGACTAAAAAAAAAAATAGCAAGAGAAACTGAGAACAATGGTCCGAAAGATATATATGGAACAGTGCTTAAGAAAACATGAAACACTGGGGTGCCTGGGTGGCTCAGTGGGTTAAAGCCTCTGCCTGCAGCTCAGGTCGTGATCCCAGGGTCCTTGGATCGAGCCCCGCATCGGGCTCTCTGCTCAGCAGGGAACCTGCTTCCTTCCTCTCTCTGCCTGCCTCTCTGCCTACTTGTGATCTCTGTCTGTCAAATAAATAAATAAAAATCTTTAAAAAAAAAAAAATCCAATCCTTAAAAAAAAAAAAAAAAAAGAAAAGAAAACATGAAACACTGGATACAATTTTTTTCTTTTTGTAGTAACATAAAAGTAACATAAAATTTACCATTTAACCATTTTCACATTAACAATTCAGTAGTGTCAAGTACACGCACATGTTACGAAGACAATCTCCGGAATTCTTTTTATCTTGGATACAAATAGTCTTCAATGAAGGCCTGGAATGTCCTCCATAAGAGTGCAGGACTATAAATATATTTACAGACTGTTTTTCTTCCAAACCAGTGAATTAACTACCAATAATATTTAGGTAATTTGGATGGCTGCAGTTTGGTCTCCCAGTAAGTGGTTTGGGAGCAGTAATGAAAATCATTTCCCCACACCTATCAATATAGTAGAATCAACTGAGTGGATAAGGCTCCAATGCTGAAGAGCTGGTCCTAAACAGGTGGCTATATCCAGTCCCAAAGCTTCGAAACTTCAAATACCATCTAACACTCGGTGATTCCCAAAGTGGCCTCCAGCCTCCCTCAACAACTGACATTTGGAGTCAGATAATTCTTTGTCTGGGGGGAGGCTGAGGGGCTGCTCTGTGCATAATAGGATTTTTAGTATCATCCCTGGCATCAAGAGACTCACTAGGCTCATCTAGATACCAGTAGCAACACCTCCACCAAAACTGTAACAACCAAAAATATCTCCACATACTGCCAAACGTCCCATGAGGGTCAAAATCAACACACCACCCCCATACCCAGAACCACTGCCCTAGAGTCATTCAAGCTTAAACACCCCCAAAAAAGGAAATAAACCTTCCGGGTAACCCGTCTATATTAAAATCTAGTAAATTATATTCTTCCCAAGTGAATTTATCATTTGCTTTAGACCAGTGACCAATCTGTTAGTTCTATGACTAACCAAGCTTGACAACATATGTAAAAAAGTTTCCCAATGAAACAAAGAAAATTAAAATTTTTGATCAATACATTTTTGTTCATTTTAACCCTTTTTTTAAAAAAAATCTTCATAGGAAAACTATGTATATTTAAATATTTTAAGAGTGCACACACTTAAATCCTTAACATTCAGTAAGATTCACTATTTATATAAAATTTGAGACACTACAGTAATGCAATTGTGGCATAATAAAAAAATATTTGCTCTTTGTTTCAGGTTCCTGGCACAAATTTCTGAAACCTTTAGAATCTACTCTCTTTTATACACTGAGACAGTTCATGGCGGGCAGTGCGCGGGGCGGGGGGGTGCGAAATAGCTTTAGGGTGGTGTTTGGTCCCTAGAAAAACTGACCACCTGATTAATGTGATTAGAGGATTAAAACTTTCAGCCCCATCCCTGGATCTCTGAGAAAGAGGGAATGGCTGGGGACTGAATTCAATCACCAGTGGCCAAAGATTTGTAGTCACCCAGGCAGAAGTATGGGTATCCTGGGTACCCCATTTATAGCTGGCATCTCAAGTGAGGGCAGTCTTGTGGGACTAAGCCCTTACCCATGGGGTTGTGCTAACTCTGGATAGTTCGTATCAGAATTAAAGTGAATTACTAGACACCCAATTGGTGTCAGGGAAATGGTTATCAGCATCAGAAAAAAGAACTGGGGGGTGCCTGGGTGGCTCAGAGGGTTAAGCCTCTGCCTTCAGGTGTCAAATAAATAACTAAAATCTTTAAAAAAAAAAAAAAAAAGAACTGGTCAGAAGAGGTGTCTGAAAACACACAAATAGAAATCTTTTTTTTTTTTTTTTTTTTACAGAATCTTCATTATTGGATCACAACTTTTCTAAGATTACCTTTGAAGCTCAGCCTAGTGTTTACTGACCACTAATTCTTAAACTTATTTATGTACAAAAGCCCTAAGTATATATGACAAAGGTATGGAACTTCTTTGAAGATCAAAGTATATACATTCACTATTTTCTTAACAATTTCAGATGTCTCAAGGACCACTAACTTCTGGTCTAAAAAAAGAAGCTAGTCCAGAAGATTTTATCAAACATCAGAAAGTTTTTGTCAGTTTGGACTGGAATTTCATATTAAAAATCCTACACAAGTATAGAGTGGTGGTTATGTTAGAGTCTTCCATAAAATATTTCAAGAGAGTAAATGAATAGATTACTTAGAGGAAAGTAAATCTCTAGATAGAAAAATATAAGAAGAAACACATAAACCAGCCAGAGAATGTTTACAAAAATAAATCTATTATGGGAACAGGTAATATCGGAGACTCAAATATCTGAATAAAGTTTTTCTACTTCTGGAGTATAACAGGCATGTGTACCAAAATTAAATGATGCTATCAAGAACCAAATAAACCATTAATGACAAGCAGGATGACTTCTACATAATAGAAGCTCAATAAATAGTTCTTGAATTCAAAAGCCTTTCTTCCTCAAAGAAAATTACTTTAAAAATGAACAAAGCACACTGCAAAAGCATACTAAGCAGTACCTTACTGACATATTACGAAAATGAATTAAATTTGCAAAAGGGAAGCTTACCAAATTAAGTTTTTAAAAGATGATTAAAATTTTATAAAAAGAAAAATGATAGCCTTCATTTTGATTGTAAAACTGAATCATAATTTCATTTCAATCAACACAACTCTCAGTAAAATCTGGGACAATTCTTTCTGCTTCTTACTACTTCGGTTTTCCTCTGAATAATAGAAACCTCTAAGTTTTTTACTATATTGTCTACAAAACTCCATAAACAGGATAGATACCATTCTTTTCTTGTGACATGAGAATAGCCCCCAATTAGGAACTAAGAAGGGGAAAAAAACCTACAAAGTAATGTCTACATTAGTATCTATAGATTTATAATAAGAAAGCACTTGCCTGAGTTAGGAATAGTAAATCCAAATACATAAAACAACACATTCAAAGAGGTTCCTCAATTTATGCTATTTTCCTTTAAGGATATCCATTACTTTATATAAAACTCTGAATTTGCAGGCACCTGGGTGGCCTTAGTCTGTTAAGCATTTGACACTGATTTTGGGTCAGGTCACAGTCTCAGGGTTGTGATCCAGCCTGGTGTTGGGCTCTGCACTGGGCATGGAGCCTGCTTAGGATTCTCTCTCCCTCTCCCTGCCTAAAATAAACAAAATAAAAACACCTCTGAATTTGTATAATAAAAATCAATACACATTCATGTGCATTACATAGATTAGATTTTTTAAAAAGATCTATTTACTTACTTTGAGAGAAAGCATGGTGTGGCGGGAGTGGGGGGGGTGAGGGGGAGCAGATCCCAAGCAGGTTCCCCTTAAAGTGCAGAGCCCAAAGCTGGGCTCAGTCTCACAACCCTGAGATCATGATCTGAGTTGGTATCAAGAGTCAGACACTCAACTGACTGAGCCTCCCACACACCCAACAATAGATTTCTTGGATTTTCAAAGGATTCAAAGCAATCTTTTATATCAACATCTCTACTGTAATCTGAGTGTTAAATTGTTTTTGTCATGTTATTGAAATATATGTACTAAGACAAAACTCCTTTAGTGCTTATAACAACTCATATAACAGTAAAATCTTCCAAATTAAATCCGAACACAAGCACAAAACCAATACTATTCAACCAACATTAACATGACAGGAAAAAAAGGTTTGCTGAAACAAAATCTCAACGGGCAACATGAATACAATGCTGTCATTGTATCTGCTCTTCTAAATTTGGAATGCCTATATGACTATTAGATGTGATATAATCCTCTTAGTACCTCTCCCTACTATGAGAGGTACTTAGGAGTTACGGAATTGGACAATGTGTATAAAAACCAACCCTACTATAATAGCTATGTAAGCTTGGGAAAATTAACTTCTCTGTATAACAATGTCCTCATCTGTACAACAGAAGTGATCACACACATCTCACAGGTCTATTTCAAGAATTAAAACCTCTTAAACCACAAATCCTTATAATAATGATAATTCGTGATTATACATGAAGAGTACTTAGAACATTAAAGATACTCAAAGAATGTTAGCTAATCCAATGTGAAATACCACAAAACTTAGATCATACAGTGGGTTGTGGCATCATTTGGCAATCTACTATTTGGACATAAATATATTATTTATGCATTAGATATACCTCAGTTCCAATTAACTCTTCATAAGGTAGTACAATACTACCTAGAGCCAACATGACCAAACAATCATAAACATGATTGCAGAATCTCCTGGCATTTACTAGTTTATAAGACAGTCATCTAAATGATCTAGAATATGCTATGACATTTTCAGAAAATCACTGTCATGAACATACTCTATTTTTAATTCTCATGGGAAACCTACAGACTCCTAAGAAAATAATGCAAATCCCAGTTTGCATATGCTTTTTTAACAAGGTCTCCTAATTATATTAAACTTTCTACTACACACACACACACACACACACACAAATATATATCTGTTGTATGATATA